TTGTACTTTCCATTTATCTGGTATTCCACTCAAGGCCTCCCCGAGGCCTGAGTTAAGTGTATTCTGCATGATGGTGGAGGTCACCGCGACACCCCAAACGGTCCCGAGAGAGCGGATGAGATAGACGGTTGAGGCGGAAACGGCGTGATCTGCACGACATTGTTAGCAGGCTGGCTTGGCAAAACAGCTTGGTCGCTCGCGGATTTGGGTAATGACGCTGGCGACAATTGACACGGAAAGAGAGAAAGGCTGGCTTACCGGTGTGGTCGAAGGCTGCTAGGAATGTGAAAAGAATTCCTGGATATACCATCCCCTGACCTAGGTTGGCGGGAATGACATAGACGAAATATTTCCATGCCGAGTCGTTGAATCGAAGGAGCATGACGAGCAAATTGCCCACGAACATTAGGACTGCACCGACACGCACGATGGAGGCTAGCTTGCCCCAGCGTGACATGATGATTCCCGCAATAAGACCACCAAGTGGGGTAAATAGACAGGGAATCACTAGTCGGGTACCAGCCTTGCTGGGAGAATCGAGGAGAATCACTTGGAACATGAGAGGCAAGGTGAAGAGGTACTAAATCCGTCACGTCAGCCGTGGTCATAACTATAGAACTGGTGGAAGAGGTGAGCTCACTGCGTATGCTGCCATCCCGACACAAACATTGGCGATCTGTGTTGATACAGCGAGTTGTCCTCGTAACATCTTCAATGGGATCAAAGGTGCGGCGGTTGTTTTCGCTTCAACAGCGACAAATGCGACCAGCAATACCACACTAGAAAGCAATGGCAAAATCACCCACAAGTGAGTCCAAGGGAGAACGTTGCCACCTAGGCTGAGTCCGACCAATTGGGCCGAGAGAGCTAGAATGAGCAGACAAGCGCCCAGTACATCGATTTGATGCCAAATTCCTCGTTTCTGGCCATCTTGGGAAGAATCGGTGTCTCGTGTTGGGAACTTTAGAACGATATAGCCCATGACCAAAGCAAACAAAGAGATTGGAACTTGCAGCAGGAAGCACCAGCGCCATCCGATCGAGTCGACGATGGCACCACCGAAAGAAGCACCACAAATGGCTCCAAATCCGTACGAGACGTTCTGGATTGCCTGGTACATACCTCGCTGGCGGAAAGGAATGAGATCTGAGTTGATGATTGTTGCTAGGGTACTTGTTAGCGATTAATACATCAATTGAAATATTGTTGACTTACCCATAGTCATCAATCCTCCGCCGCCGATGCCCGTTAAGGCACGCATGATGTTCAAAAAGATTACATCGCGGGCCACGGCACACCCCAAACAACCAATCATGAAGGTAATAGTTGCAGTAAAGAAACAAGACCGGCGACCGAGTATATCGGAGAATCGGCCATAGAGAGGCTGGAATGCGGTGCTTGTGATCAAGTACGAAGTGGTCAACCACGAAGCAGTGTTCGCGGCGTTGAACTCGGAGCTGATCACAGCATAGGTCGAGGCAGTGATAGTGCCGTCAAACCCACCAAGAAATACATTGGCCATGATTGCTGTTGAATTGTCAAATTTTGCTCGATTGTCTATGCAATTCGATTTTACTTACCGATTTGGATGAGTAGGAATCCTGGTGGTGGGCTCCAAGTCGTAGGAACTGGATCCGATCGTAATAAAGGTTGCTGTTCGCTTTCTTGTGCCTGTCTTTCGGCTTCATTCTCATGTGTCGGCATTATGCCTGCAACACTTTTATTCGGATCTAATGCCATTGTCAATTTCGAATGTTCAGATCCCAAATTTGCGATTCAGATGACGGAAGCAGCGGCCGAAGATGGGAAATATCAGAAATTTCAAAGTGCCGAGGAGAGCGGGCCACTGCGGGCACTCGATGGGGAAATGCGAGCGGATTATCTTCCCCGCCAAGTGCCAAGCACGACATCATCTTGCACTATGACATTATATTTGAGGTGGGCAACTATTTAACGAGATGTGATACGTGCCATTCCTTTCTTTTTTTCATTTCATTTCACACACTCAAATCAAAAAGAAGTCAAAGAGACTCAGTGCAGAGTACCCATCTAAGGTTAATGTACCCTATCATGAACATAATGACCAGCATCATGGAAACTGATCACTGGACCAGTACTTATCATGAAATTCCTTGAAACCATCGCCTGCACCGCGGCCCTGTTGCCACTTGCTGCGGCAGATTGGCAGTTCAAATCTCGAACCGACCTGGCCCCGCCTCGTCTGAATATCACCATCCCGGCCACAAAGGATGTTGAGAAGGGTTACCTCTTCATCGCGCCTTTCCCCGGCCAGTGGGCTGAGCCACAGTTTCATGGTCCACGCCAGGAAGCTCCGTATATCGTTCGTGATGACGGTGAACTGGTCTGGTCGGGCTATACCTACTTCTCCATCTGGGCTGCCAACTTCCAGAAGGCCAGATGGAATGGTCAGGATGTGCTGTTCAGCTTTGAGGGTGATCATAACCCAGCCTACGGGCATGGTCATGGTCATGCCACCATTTTGAATCAGCACTATGAGACTATTCGGGAGCTCCGCGCTGGCAACCACAAGCTCATGGATAAGCATGAATTCCATGTTGTTGATGAGAAGACTGCATTGCTTCAGGTCTATCAGCCCGTGCCGAGGGATCTCTCTCGCTGGGGCGCTAGTGCTGAGCAACAGTGGATTGTCGATGCCATCTTCCAGGGTATGTGGATTCCCGAAGATATTGAAAAGCCAATGTTAATTCGCAGTAGAGCTGGATATTGACACTGGTGAACTGCTATTTGAGTGGTCTAGCCTCGAACATGTCTCACCTGATGGTAAGTCAACTTAGTTATCTTCAACTCTTATAATGACTTAGTCTAACATTGTGCAGAGGCTGTCCTTCCTCTCAACCCGGGACAAGCTGGTGCAGGCTACAACTCATCCGACGCGTGGGATTACTTCCATATTAACTCCGTGGACAAGGACGCCGAAGGAAACTACCTGATTTCCGCGCGGGATGCTTGCGCAGTCCACAAGATTAATGGCACCACTGGTGAAATCCTCTGGCGGTTAGGTGGTCTCCGCTCAGACTTTGAGCTCGGTCCCAATGTCAAGTTCTGCTTCCAGCATCACGCGCGCTTTGTCAAGCAGAGTGATAATGAGGAAATCATCTCCCTTTTCGATAACTCTGCCCATGGAACCGAGAATCACCGCGGCAGAGAGGTCCACACCCATCCTTTCTCGCAGGGCAAGGTCATTTCGGTCAACACTGCTACCTGGACTGCGGAGATTGTTTCAGCCTTCCAGCCTCCCGATGGACTCCTCGCCAAGTCCCAAGGAAGCACTCAGCTTCTGCCCAACGGCAATGCCTTGGTTAATTGGGGCTCTGAGGGAGCGTTGACCGAATTCCGGGAGGACGGTACCCCTATCTTCCACGCTTACATGGACTCAGGCTTGCTGGGCGAGGGAGTCCAGAACTATCGGGCGTTCCGGTACAACTGGACCGGCCTTCCCACCGAAGAACCCGCCATTGTGGCTGAGAAGACTTCCTCGGGGACCGATGTCTTTGTTTCGTGGAATGGTGATACTGAGACGGCCGTTTGGCGATTCTATGCCGTCACAGATGGATTTGGGTCCCGGGAGTTCTTGGGCGAGGCTACACGGGATGGATTCGAGACTTCCTTCTCTCTGCCTGGTCACTCGTACCAAGGCTTGGCAGCTGAGGCTATCTCGGCTCGTGGTCGTGTCTTGACTACAACTCGCGTTGCTCATATCCAGGACGCGGTGCTTCCTTATAGCACTGTTGCTGTGGGTTCCGAGGATCGCGGGTCTTGGAGACAGTTGATCTTGCAGGCATAGATGAAGACATGTCTGTGAACTAGGCTATATGGAGAGGAGAATGAGATGTGGTGAGGGGCTGATTTGACAAGGGGTGTAAAGGGATGTGCTGGCTCGTGTGAGTTGAAGTAGTGTATGGCAGGCTGAACTGCCATTGCGTCATGTAAGACCTTTGCCTGCGTATAGTTAAATTCTCCAATTGAATTGAATGTTATGTGGCAAAGCCTTGATACATTCTTAAGCTGTACGGCCTATATTTTATGGCTATAATGCTAATAAAACGGAAGGACTACAAAAAAGGGCACGATACGGCCGTATAAGTGGCAGAGTATTCTTGTTCTCTATAATTTTAATTCTCGATACTATCACCCTCAGTTTAATCACACAGCAGCTTAGTAGTGAAATATGTATTTCAGCATATAAGTATGTGATATAGTGCAAAGTCTAGATCTTGAAGACCTACCTACGTCCATGGGTCCATGGGTTGGACTTTGTACCTAGTTAGTAAGCTATAAGGAATGTCCAAACCGAGCCGGTAGTGTCACATTCGAAAATCCTTTTTACCGGTCCTTTTGAGGTCCGGATGTCTGACCTTTGGTTTTCTGTCAACTCATTAGACTCTCGGATCCTCACCATCCCTAGTTGACATCTGGGATATTGGCCGAATCCGAGATTAACCTAAAAAGGAAGTTGCTCTGAATATAAGACATGGGGTGTGACGGGACACGATGCTCATACACAGCCAATCAAGAGACTCGAAAACACCTTAATATATACCCAGGTAGGGCATGTGGTGCTGTCTTATACGCTATATGATGGAATGTCACCTTCATTAGTCCGACACTCAGATGCCCAGATAATGCATGTGTATATGGGGCTAAGGTTATTCGGACGTTCCCATCCGCTGGTATTTATTTAGCATAATGTACATAAATTTCCATTGACTGTTTCGGAAAGAGCTATGACAGTGCATCCATGGGTGTTGACTTCCCTTCTTTCCCTTTTTTGAAGCTTCTCGGATCTCTCACTTTCCGGTTCCCGTTGGTTCTTTCCTTCTTACTTTGTTACTCTGTTACTCTCTTATGTTCCTTCCTTTTCATCATAACTCTTACCAGTCACGTCTCACCTCGTGTTTTCCCCTTCTGTCAACAACTCTCGTTTACCTCCCCCTTTTCCGTGTTTTCGTGTGTCTTTCATGGCTTCACATCTTCTTCCTTCTTTAGGCTTTTCGCCAACTCCTCTCGTGCCAGACCGAGTGGGAGGCATGCCTGATAATGGTGCCGTTGATACCCCCGGCTCGGAGACCCCAGTTTCCGAGTCCGGAGAGGATCGCGACAGACAAATCACCACTCTTGCACGTTCTCTCTCGCAAATTTCGCGACAGAGCAGCCTCAGAGCAGCCAGTCAACCTGGAGAGGGTGTCAACACCTTCCTCGACTCAAGTGACCCAGAACTAGATCCCAATAGTGACCAGTTTAAATCGCGCAAATGGGTGAAGAATATCATCCAGATGACCTCTTGCGATTCAGAACGGTACCCGCGTCGCACAGCAGGAGTCTCCTTTCGCAACCTCAACGTTTTTGGCTACGGCACCGCGGCTGATTACCAGATGGACTTCGCCAATTTCTGGCTCAAAGGTGCAGGATGGTTCCGCAGTGTTTTGGGTTTGCAGAAGAAAGTACGCATTGATATCCTGCGGGACTTCGAAGGCATTGTTCACAGTGGTGAGATGCTAGTTGTACTAGGTCGCCCGGGAAGGTACGTGAATCGACACCCTCCCCGCCAAAGACTAATCGCTAACAACCACCAGCGGATGCTCTACCTTGCTCAAAACCATTGCCGGAGAGACTCATGGTCTCCACCTTGACGAGGAGAAAGGATGTGAAGTGAAGTATGATGGCATGTCCTGGGACGACATGCACAGCCGTTTCCGTGGCGAAGTCATCTATCAAGCCGAAACCGAGACTCACTTCCCTCAGCTGACTGTCGGTGATACTCTGCTGTTTGCTGCCCACGCTCGAGCGCCAAGTAACCGACTTCCCGGTGTTACACGCGACCAGTATGCGACGCATATGCGAGATGTGGTAATGACGATGCTTGGCTTGACCCATACCATGAACACCAAGGTGGGCAATGAATACATTCGAGGTGTATCAGGCGGCGAAAGAAAGCGGGTCAGTATTGCCGAAACCACTTTGTGTCGATGCCCTTTGCAGTGTTGGGACAACAGCACTCGTGGACTCGATAGCTCAACGGCACTGGAATTTGTCAAAAACATTCGCCTTTCCACGGACTATAGTGGATCCACCGCTGTTGTCGCAATCTACCAAGCGAGTCAGTCCATTTACGACCTGTTTGACAAAGCAATCGTCCTTTACAAAGGCCGCCAGATCTATTTCGGCAGTGCGTCCAATGCACGGCGCTTCTTCATCAAGATGGGGTTCCATTGCCCGGAGAGACAAACCACCGCGGACTTCCTCACTTCCCTCACCAGTCCTTCGGAACGCGTTGTTCACCCCGGGTTTGAAAACTCCGTTCCACGCACACCCGATGAGTTCGCAGTACGCTGGAAAGAGAGCCCGGAGCGTAAGCAGCTTCTTGCTGAGATTCAAGCAAATGAAGCCGAGAACAATATCGGGGAAACGAAGTTTGAGGAATTCAGTCGCTCTCGTGCAGCCGACAAGCCCAGGTTTACTCGGGCAGCTTCTCCATACACACTCTCGTTTCCGATGCAAGTCCGTCTGTGCCTTTGGCGAGGCTTCTTGCGCCTTAAGGCAGACTCGACTATGACGCTTGCCACCCTCGTCGGGAATATCAGCATGGCTCTGATCATTTCGAGTGTCTTTTTCGACACACCAAACAACACCGACAGTTTCTACAAGCGTGGATGCCTGCTCTTCTTTGCCATCATGATCAGTGGCTTCGCCAGCTCACTTGAAATCATGATAATGTGGCAGCAGCGGCCGATCGTGGAAAAGCATCGCAAGTACGCACTGTACCATCCCTTGGCGGAAGCTATTAGTGCGTACATCGTGGAGCTTCCGGCAAAGATCGTGCTATCCGTGGTGTTCAATTTGATATTCTACTTCCTACCCCATCTTCGGCGCACTCCGGGCCATTTCTTCGTATTTTTCCTCTTTTCGATAATGACGACCCTTGTGATGTCCAATATTTTCCGATTCATCGGCGCAATCTCGCGGTCTGTGGCCCAAGCTATGCCTCCTGCTTCGGTCTTCATGCTTATCTTGGTCATTTACACCGGATTTACTATTCCTGTCCGAGATATGCACCCTTGGTTCCGGTGGCTCAACTACGTGAACCCGATTGCTGTAAATGATTACTTAGTTTGTGCGCGGTCATATCAGAATATGCTAACACGAAATAGTACGCCTTTGAGGCGCTAATGATCAATGAGTTCGGCGGACGGTCCTTCCCGTGCTCGAATTTTGTCCCGGGTGGCATGGACGTTTACAAAGATGCTCCTCTCAGCTCTAAAATCTGTTCGCAGAAGGGTGCTGTAGCAGGGCAAGATTTTATTGATGGAGACACATACATCAACACGACCTACCGATACTACAGCCCGCATTTGTGGCGGAACTTCGGAATTCTTTGCGCTTTCTTTGTCGCCTTCTTTGGATTGTACATCTTCTGCAGTGAACTCATCCGCGCTAAACCATCCAAAGGTGAAGTTTTGGTGTTTCCACGCGGCAAGATTCCTGCTTTTGCCAAGGATGCTCGAAAAGATGATCCAGAGGAAGTCATCGCATCGGAGAAAGGTGCAGTTGCTAGCGAACCCCAAGAATTAACTGGAGCAATTGTTCGCCAAACTGCCGTCTTCCACTGGGAGAATGTGTGTTACGATATCAAGGTCAATGGGACCGACCGACGCATCTTGAACAGCGTGGATGGTTGGGTCAAGCCCGGAACTCTGACGGCCTTGATGGGTGTCACTGGTGCGGGAAAGACTTCCTTGCTCGACGTGTTGGCCAATCGTGTCACTATTGGCGTTGTCTCGGGGAATATGCTCATCGATGGGCGGCTACGTGATGATTCTTTCCAGCGCAAGACGGGTTACGTGCAGCAACAGGATCTGCATCTGGAGACTAGTACTGTTCGTGAAGCTCTTGCTTTTAGCGCTCTCCTACGCCAGCCTGCCACCATTCCTCGCCGAGAAAAGATTGCATACGTTGAAGAGGTTATTCGCATGCTCGGTATGGAGGAATACGCAGATGCCGTGGTCGGAGTTTCCGGTGAGGGTCTCAATGTAGAGCAGCGTAAGCGGCTGACTATCGGCGTGGAATTGGCTGCGAAGCCAGATTTGCTGCTGTTCTTTGATGAACCGACTTCGGGTCTGGATAGTCAAACTGCTTGGGCAATCTGTACCCTCATGCGCAACCTGGCCGACCACGGTCAGGCTGTGTTGTGTACTATTCACCAGCCTTCGGCAATGCTGATGCAGCAGTTCGACCGCCTATTGTTTCTCGCGAAAGGAGGACGCTCAGTGTACTTCGGAGACCTCGGCCCGAACATGGAAACATTGATCAAATACTTCGAAGACAAAGGGTCCCTCAAGTGCCCACCAAACGCAAACCCAGCCGAATGGATGCTCGAGGTCATAGGTGCTGCGCCAGGATCTCATGCAGATAGGGATTGGGCTGAACAATGGACCAACAGTGCCGAGCGCGCAGAGGTTCACAGAGAATTGGCGAAAATGAAAAATGAATTGTGTATCCGGCCTGTACCTCTGCGAGCTGCAGGATTTGGTGAATTCGCCATGCCAATCTGGTATCAGTTCCTCGTTTGTACTCAACGCACGTTCCAACAGTACTGGAGATCTCCGTCATATCTGTACGCCAAAGTTCTCACTTGCACTGCCCCGGTAAGATATCTTCCTACCTTTTACTTGATTAGACTAACGGAAATAGCCACTATTTCTCGGATTCACCTTCTGGCACATGCCTAACAGCATTCAAGGGCTGCAGAATCAAATGTTTGCAATCTTCATGATCCTCGTCATTTTCCCGGGTCTGGTTCAGCAGATGATGCCGACCTTCGTCACCCAGCGTGCCTTGTATGAGGTGCGCGAACGGCCTTCGAAAGCCTACTCATGGAAGGCATTTATGATGGCCAGCATCCTCGTGGAGCTTGCGTGGAATACCCTGATGTCCGTCCCATTATTTTTCTGCTGGTACTACCCAATCGGGTTCTATCATAATGCAGAGCCCACAAACGCGGTCCTCGAACGAAGCGGCATCATGTACTTGCTGATTTTACAGTTCATGATGTTCACGTCGACCTTCAGCTCCATGATGATTGCTGGAATTGAGGAGCCCGATACTGGCAGCAACATTGCCCAGTTCATGTTCTCGCTTTGCTTAGTCTTCAACGGGTAAGTTATCTGCGGGTGCTTCGTTGTTAATTGGCAATAGTGCTGATTCAGGTTGTAGGGTGCTCTCTAATCCCTCTGAAATGCGTCGTTTCTGGATCTGGATGAATCGCGTTTCGCCATTCACCTATTTCGTCTCCTCTGTGCTCTCCACGGGCCTGACTGGGGCTTCAGTGGAATGTTCCAGCATTGAATGGCTCACTGTCTCGCCTCCAGATGGCCAGACTTGCGGCTATTATCTTGACCCTTACATCCAGACTGTTAAGGGCAAATTGCTCAATCCTGAGGCATCGGCGGATTGCAAAATCTGCCCAATGTCGAAAACAGACCAGTTCCTCGAAAGCCTCAACATGTCGTACTCGGATGTTGGGCGCAACATCGGCTTGCTGTTTGCCTACATAGGGTTCAATATTGTCGCGGCGCTCTTCATGTACTGGCTCTGTCGCGTGCCCAAGCGTTGGTCGCGCAAACTCAAACAGACATAAAAACGTCGGTTGCCTCCTTTTTTCAGGTTGTGGGGTGGTTTATTGCGAATGATTTTGTTCCCGAGAGGTTCCGTGCGTTTCTCTTTCGGGTTCATCGGAAATATTCTCTTGCTTTGTCAATCTTGGCACAGAGTGTTATCTTGCCAAATGCATCTTATTGAATGTAGCTTAAGTTAATCAATGTTTTATTGTTTTATACCCTTTTGCATGTTCAAGTATATAATATGGGCGTAGAATCGAACCGCACATTTTCTAGGTTCCAAATAGGTGACGCTACTAGCCAGCTACAAAACATCAGCAATATCTGTCCAAAGGATTTAAATTATATTGTATTTAGCTAAAGATATCATACCTAGCAACAACGCTTTCGTTGTTCTTAGAGCACAAGAGACGTCCTAAGTTGGTCGACCATTGTTTGAACACCAAAGTCCTCGGGAATGTCAAGTATGAGAATTCCGGTCCAACAAGCATCAGTCTATGATACTATTTCAGAGTGCGAGCCTTGGCTAATCTATCTTGAACTAAGCAACTGCTGAAGAGGAGTTTCGTTGAAGATTTTACTTCTCATACAGTGTTCATGCGACAAGCTCGGTTGTTCTTCGCTGCAGAAACCCAGAAGTAGCAGGGTGTTGAGTATCGGAAAGGTTAAACAGGTCAGAACTGCAAGCACTTCAAGTCAATAATACAATAAAGTAAAGAACCAGTCAATTTCGTCCAGTGCCTGCAACTTGGGAAGGTCCTATAGTTATATTCTATGCATATTCGTACAATTCTATATGAGCTCATTGAGAGACCTAGGGCAAATTCCCTGGCAATGAACTCGAGGAAATAAACCCCAAATTCGCTCATCGGTCGTCTTGTACACGGGCATATCTGCAAGGTAGTTAGCATCACAAAAGACATATCATGCAGCATTCGTGAAAGTACATACTCTAACATAAGCCGGAACATATAAACATCCATATCATCGTTACGAAGTGTCTTAGCAGCCCACGACTGCCCTTCCTCGCCAATGGTTCTAGCAATCTCCTGTCCAGCATGACCCTGCTCGAAGAAGCGCACAATCTCGGCAATTTCGGTGGTATCCTTGTTCAGCGGCACGTAGTGAACCCATGGAACAAGGACATCATCGTGCCATTCGCGGAAAAAGGTCAGCTTGAGCGGTACGCTCTTGCTACGCATGAAGGCATAGAATCGCCCGCTGTAAGTGTGCCCATCCATATCTAGCAAGTAGCGGTATTTCCACGCCTCGTTCTCGTCTTCTCGATCCAGGACATCAAAGAACCTCCTCTCGTCGTAACAGTCTTGTCCCTCACACCCGGTGATATCAACAAAATGGGCGTTGAAGTATTCGCTGAGCTCTGTTTGATTTGCCTTGCGAACTTTCCACCCCTCCTCGCCACCGATGCTGCAAGTGGACTCTGCCTTGAGCTCCAAGATATCATGTTCCGAGTTTCGTTCTAGCGATGCAACCACTCGTTGTCGCTGTAGATTGTGCCAAGATCCATTGTGACTGGATCCGCCGCTGGTCGTTCCTCGCCAGTAGATTTGTCCTTTCCTTGATTCCCATGGTATGTCGGCTTCTGGTTTATAGCCTCCAACTCCCTCGTAATACCAGGGGGAAGGGACGGGAATATCCTGGAACGAAGATGGGTGTGACATCGAGAACATCGGGACTAGCATGTTCGTGAGCTTGAGGGCATTGGGCCGCTCAAAAATCCCAAGCCTATGCTGTAGCGAGGGACTATTGCAAATATCACTAGCCGCGGATTGATTGAAGATGAATCCTAAAGGCTCGAGGGCAAAAGCACTGGTGTTATCTGGGGCATTGCCATCGAGGTCCATAGCCGGACTGTGTGGTGGGCACGATAATCGAGAATAAAGCCAGGTTTCTTGCCGGGCGAGATTGAGAAACCGACTTGTGGAGATTTCTGGGATAGGTTCCGTAGAGATATTATTGCCAGAAAAATGATTTAACAATGAATTGCTGTTTATGCATGCCTGAGCTTTATATCCTTTTGTTACCAGTCTGTGTAACTCCTCATGAGGAACAACAACCCGCGGCTCATCGTGAACATTGAATTCGAGATCCATGTCAGGCAGCCATTGAGCAAATTTGCTAAACTGCTTCATCGTCGCGTTCCGTTGGAAATCTCCCTGGCCATTGCCTAGGTGAATAGGCTCACCATTTCGGATAGAGATACCCATCACCATGTTGTCGAAGCCTAGATCCTCTCTCACACGCGACCGGATTATACGCGGGGAAAGTCCCCAGAAAGGGAGCAAAGAGTGATATATCGTGTCGTACTCGTCAATCAACATCGTATTCCGCTGCTTCGCAAACTCGTACCACTTATCGAAGTGGGGAGGCGGCGGCATGTTATATCGTCGACGGTATTCGGTGACTGCCTGTTCCAATGAGTTGGACTGGCCTGTCAAGGTTTTATTGAATGTCTTCGAGGCAACGGACGCAAGTACAGAGATGGGATGGTCGCACAACCTTTCATCGGGCATGCGTTTGAAGTTTGGTGAGAGCAACGGGAAACGCCAAAAGAAGAAAATCACGGTGGCTACCGCAAGAGCCATTGTCCAAGTCCTCGTGCTCTTTGTTGTGCGACCAAAGTAATGATATGATTTCTTTCGAGTTCCCCCAAGAGGCTGGTGGTTGTGTTTTGCCCAGGGCTCTACGCGAAGAGTGTTGAAGATAGCCATAGTGCTGGCTTATAAATAATGAGTGGGACAATATTTGACGGGCAATAGGAACAATTATATTGCTCTCGACCCAGACACTGAAGAGTACATAGAAAGAGGCAATCAAACTCAACGACCTTTTAGGTTGGGCCCTGAGGCCATCAGCCATGGCTTAATTAGCGTCGGCGCTTGAATTAGTGCCGCAATATTGGAATATTGGAATATTGGAATATTAGAACATTAGAACATTTCGAGATGAGGCCGAATTTCAACAGCTTTAGTTTACTCAAATTTCTCTCTTTTTATAACTCTTTGTCTTTTTCGTTCCTTTCTATAATGCAGTACAAAAGATGGCATTCGGATCCAACAAAACACTACTTTTCCAACTCAAAGGGTTCGAATATTTCACCCTAATTGGAACGGAGCCAAAGTACGTTGCTCCACTTACCCTGCATTATGTGTGGACGCCACTGGGCATCATGCAACCCGGCTATCGTTATATCACGCAGGTGCATGAGGCCGACTCGTATCAGCGGCTAATGAGTGGTTTACAGCAATTCAACGAGGATTGCGGTCCGGTCCGGTTAGAAGTTCTATAAAGTGGAGCACGATAGTTTTCACGCACTGGAATTAAATGAGGCTCTATATTAGATAGGTGCAATTCGGCTGTAATAGTTTTCACACCCTGGGCGATCCTGGCTTCCTTGTGGGATTTTGACCAATTACTTCCGGGATCACCGAAGGTTAGGCTTCGAGCACCTAGTTCGGATTGAAGGGGGAATAGAACGACACCTGTGAAGCGTTTCAATTTGTTGCTATACAACATTTACCATTTGACTTCACTAGCAACTAGTAGAGTAGGCGATTAGCCACATATTTTAGATAGTCCCGAAGGTGTAGGTGGCTAGGTTCACGGCAGGAGGGCTCTCGGGAGAGTAGATCACATTGGATCGCTGACCCCATTGAGGATTGTTGACGGAATCAATCCAACCCTCCGGCTCAATCGCCAGACAACCATATTTTTCCACAAATCTAGCAGCTTCCTCATTTTCCGAATTGCGCTCGACCTGAGAAGGCTTCACGGGAATTGTTCCATCCATGTTCAGGCAGGTGAAGAATTGTAAAGCAGGCTGGTTCGTGGCAACTTCCATGCTAATTCCCGTGGTTCTGGAGTTCAACCGGAGAGCAGGAACAAGTGAGTGCTGGGCTGAGTACGTCGGGTCGCGGTCAACAATGAAGCAATTGTCATATCCCACATCACTGCCAACAAGTCCTTGGGTATATTGGATGTCACGGCCGATAATCTTGCCGGTAGTAAAGTCCATGGATTGGTGATCGGTATCAGCGACGGTAGAGATGGCGCCGTTGGGGACTTGAAGACTGTCTGTGGCGATGAATCGCTCAGACAGAGGCAATTGCAGCCATGTATCATTGAGCACAGTCGACTCCTTGAACCCATTCAGATTCCAGTAGATATGATTGGAGAGCATGATCGGAGTGGAGTGAGTGAGAGCCTGGGAAACCAACTTGGTCATCAGCCGGGGACGTCCCTGTGGGTTCCCTGCCGTGACCTCGGTGTCGACACTGTATGTAGCCTGCGTAATAACATCGCCTGGGAAGCCTTGGAATGCGGCATCGTAGAGCTGGAAGGTAACGGAGGAAGGTGTGGATGCAAGCACAGTCCAGTTCCGCTGATCATAGCCAATGTCTCCCCCATGCAGAGTATACAAGCCCTTTTGATTCTTGGGAATGTGGTACTCGGTTCCATCTAGGGAGAAAGTGCCATTTTTGATACGGTTGGCAATCCGACCAAGGACGGCGCCGAAATAGGTATGGCTGGTCTGGGTGTCTTCTAGATATTGGCGCGGATCGTCGTAGCCGACTACAATGTCTTGCACATTGCTATCCCTGTCTGGGACGAGCAACGAGATCAATCGCGCCCCATATGGAATGAACTTGGCCGTAATATTGTCGGCGGAGATTGTGAAGACCTTAAAGGGATCCACGGAGGATGTAGTGGAAGACGACTGGCTGAGAGCGATCGGAATGAAAAGACATGTTGCAATGCACTGTTTAACATACATATTGCAATATTTGATAAAAGAATGCTCAACAGGAATGGCACATGTAAACAAAGGTAAATGAAAGAGAGAATTTGTGACAAAAGACGAAAGGAAGCCCTTTTGGATGCTTTTAAATCAAGTAGATCAACAGACCCACCTTCTTGCGGTGTATACAACATAAAACAAACCGCTATCGGCGTGTCGGAAACGGAAAAGAAAGGATCAGGGACACGTTGTCGGCATGCCGAGTTGATCCTCGTTCGAGAGGGACCCAAGGTCCCCCCACAAGGGCTTCATTGGTTATAGTTGAACTTTCTTCAGGTGTCAGATCAAATCTCACCCTAAATTTCACCTTAAATTTCACCGAGATTGTCCCTTTTTACTTTTCCATTCCGTGCGCTTGGCGGCCCCGTCGATCAAAAGGACATTCGGGCATTCTCTGGAGTCTTTTCGGAGTGTCAATGCAAATACTGACCTCTCCTCGGCTAGTGTTGCACAAATTATGCAGTAATCTCACAATTTCCACTCTTCAATCAACGATATTCCGGGTTCCAGGCCAGGCAGACTCGCCCAGATGTCAAAATCGAGTTACCTAATTAGGAAGGCTTACCAATCAGGAAGATGACACCTATTGTATATCACCCCTACGGTCCTATATTCTCTATTGCGGAGCACAGCCGTAGAACTTGACTGGCCTGTAGCTCAAAAGATTCGCTGAAGATCTTGATACACTAAAGATATACACTAGCAATCGTACCTGTTTGATTGGCTTGATATGGGATTGTTATTGGGCTAAAACCACCGTATAGATTCTCGAACCGTATACACAATTCTAACGCATAGAAAGTACCACAACCTGATTTATACTGTCTCCACACAATTGAAACCCCGTAAGCCCTAAGCCTAAGTGAGCTAAGTATGAAGATCAAGTCTAGAAGAAAGAAAAGAACGATTCACAAACCTGCAATTTATATGGTGAAAATATACTTTAACCACAACATTGGAATACAAGTTTATAATTTATTCCATATGTAGACTATGAGTTAATATCTTGTTACAATTTCAAGATTGATTTTTGTATTTTTGTTAAGAAACAGTGTTCGACACAGCCCCGTGTCATCTATCCACTCAATGGAGATTTCTCGGCGTAAGCCTACCTCCAACCCCCTAATTGCCCTCACCATCCTCTTCAATCTTGGCCGGGATTGGTTTGTTTGCCAGGGGAGTTAACCTAAAACCGTGTCTACGATCTCCAATGGGGTAGTCAAGAGTCTGCGAGTGATTGGTGACTCGTTGGTCCCATACGAGCACGGTGCCAGCTTCATACCGGATCCGACAAGAGAAATCCTGGCGTTTGGCGATGTGATCAAAAAGGAACTTGAGGATGCAGTCTGACTCTTCCTGCTCGAAACCAACGATCTTTTTTGTGTAAACAGGGTTTACATCTTCAAAGGATCATGTTAAAAAGTGGATACAAACACATAGGCGAGATAAACTTACAAAGGGCTTTCTGCTTTGTAACCGGGTGAACAAGTACAACGGGGTGTTCAGCTTGAAGCACTCCGCGCCGCATAACGGCTTTTTGGCCATGTTTGAGCTCTTGGCTGACGCCGTCATTGTTGGTGTGAATAGCTGTCAAGCCTTCGAGGCGCTTTCTGAAGCGAGGCGACAAACTGCTGTATGCCCTTACGCTTGAACTCACAAGAGTGTCTCCTCCAGCGGTTGTTGGGGACTCGAGCATAGCAATGAAAGTGGTTCCAGGGGGCTGTTGCTCGGGACTCTGATCTGTGTGCCATTGGACTGGGCTACGGCCGGCCCAAGATTGACGCACTCGGAGGTCACTGGGAAAGGTGTCAGTGATGTTGGACGATGGCTTCGCGTAGATTGCTATGCCTACTCTTTATGATCGTAGATAATCATGTGCTCTTCAGATCCCGCAGCAGGATGGGGGGCCCAGCCGTGAATATGCAGAGGGCCGAAATGGCGGACAATTTTCTTTTGTGCCTCGAAGCCAATATCCACAAAGTCTTGATCGCGGAATACCAAGGCACCTCTCTGCGCAGCAAGGAGAGCGAGCTCATCCAAACCAGCGCTGTCTAGTTGAGAGAGCTGAACTCCGTGGATCTCAGTTCCCACGTGAGGAGATAATTCCCAGACCTTGGTCGCATTCTTTAGAAGATTGGGCAGCTTGGGATCAGCGCGGTGACCAGGATCGAAATGGTCGAAAGCACCGATATCCTCTACCTTCTCAAGAGGATCGTAGAATGCTGTTGGACTACAGTTTAGTTTTCTATTCAATCAGAATTGGATTATCATATTCAGACTTACGCATGTAATCGGGATATAGAGGCTCGCCATTTTCGTTCTTCTCTCGTGTGATTGTACCGGGCGTAATGACTGTAGTGCTCGACATTTTGTTGTTGACTCGAATAACATATCTTGATGGTCCAATGTACAAGGCCTATATAACATCTTGGAAGAATATTGGAAAGCAAAGATTCAAATGCCGTTATTTCGCATTCTACAAAGTACAACGATAGAGTTGGCCGCTCAGCAGGCTCGATGATCCGATAAACCCCAGACAGTTCTTATCAGCTCTATCATTTCAGCGCGGCCAACCTTCCAAGCTTAGAAGCAATCGAAACCAATAGTATCACAGTTAGATAGGACTATTCTTGTTTGACATGGCTTCATTAAGGCTTGATGATGCATGTTAGATAGGACAAACTCCGAGTGAGTTCTTGTGCACAGTATCCAAGCCAACCATCTACTTTCTCCCTGGGAGATATCAAGCTCTAGATATGGAAAGATAGACACGGATCAAGTTCAAGATCTCTTTAAGTTCTATCTCCCTCGCAGTAGATAATGTCAGAGTCGAGGTAAAAATCAATTACTGATATATTTCACTATGGAGTCGACTGATTCTTCGCCGGCATTGTCCATGACTGATACGGAGAAGAAAGGTGATGTAGTCACTACTGTTACCGATGGAAATGGAAGCTCGGCAACGGAGTATGAGCGATTCCTTCACCTGGAAAATGTGTTCAGCGGAGCTTCAAGGAAGAAGCTTCTTCGAAAATGTATGACTAGTGCAACGATGGAATGTCGGTTTCCTAACTTTCGACTCAGTGGACCTACGCCTGCTGCCAACGCTGAGTTTTCTATACTTGATGTGCTCGCTGGATAAATCCAATGCAGGAAATGCAAAGGTAAGCATGTTTACCTTCGAGATCTCATTCAAAAAATGTCTAAACATTATCGATGGTTAGTTATTCGGCTTCCTTGAGGACCTCGGAATGACTGGCACCCAGTATAATCTGGCTCTGATGTACTTTTTCTTCACCTATGGGCTTGCTGAGCCAGTTTCGAACATCATGCTTCGAAGACTCGGTCCTAAAGTATGGTTTCCATTCATCGTGTGTGCATGGGGACTTATCACAACTCTCACCTCGCAAGCGAGCTCTTATGCTGGATTTGTCGTCATCCGTCTGATGTTAGGAATAACCGAGGCTGGACTTTACCCAGGTGCTTACTTCATTCTCTCCATGTGGTATACACCGAAAGAGATCGGCACACGAATGGCTATTTTCTACGGTGCGAACACAACCGCAGGTGCCTTTGGTGGAGTCATTGCCTACGGAGTTGGATCACTTGATGGGAGTCATGGCTGGAGAGCCTGGAGATGGCTCTTCCTTATTGAGGGGTGTATCACCATATTTGCCGGGCTTGCTTGTCTGTTTTGTTTACCGTGAGCCTCCCAGCAACTCATCATTTTCGTCGGACATCGCACTAATTTGTCGTTGACAGTGCATTTCCTCATCAATATAAGGCTGGCAAAGGTACCAAATGGCTTACCGAGGAGGAACTTGAATATGCTTCCCTTCGTGTCAAATATGCCAATGGCCCTGTGTCTTCCACTTATACCTTCCGCTGGAGTGATGTGATTGCAGCTGCAAAGGATCGGAAAACTTATTTCATGTATGTCAATCCCAAGTCTTCCTTACCCCTCATAACTAATTTGTCTTCAGGATGATGCTGTTCTGGTGGGGTGGTTCCGTACCTACATACTCCCTGTCTTATACTCTGCCCACAATGGTTGCAAACTTGGGGTACACTGCGGTGAAAGCGCAAGTCATGACCACGCCCCCTTACATCTTTGCCACGTGCGTTTGTGTTGCCGTTGGTTATATCAGTGATAAAACACAGCGACGGTATTTCTGCATCATGGGTGCTTATACTCTGGGCCTGATGTAAGTTGCTCTCTACCAAGATGAAGGCCCGTACTAACCAGAAAAATTTAGTGGTATTATTATTTTGTGGATAACAGTTCACCACCCTTCTATCCCCGGCGTGAGCTACTTTGCTATCTTTTTTGCTGCAGCTGGATACTCGGCGCAAGCTCCTATTGTAGGCTCTGTCTGCGAAACTCAACTTTGGAACTTTGACTGACCATTCAATTCAGGTTGGCGCTTGGACAGCTTCTAACATTACGAACCCATCCAAACGAGCCGCTGCTATTGGTCTTCTGATGCTCCTTGGTAGCGTCGGCGGTGGTAGTATTGGATCTAATATCTACATTGCTAGCGAGGTCAGTGGGTTTAGAAATTCTGGAATCAAGAGATTGACTGACATATCATAGGCGCCTACTTACCCTCTCGGATTTGGCTTCTCAGTCGGTGCAACTCTGCTTGGAGCTATGATCCCCGCTACTGTACATTGGTATTTAATGCGCAAGGAAAACAAGCGACGGGGTGGATTGGACGTTGCTGAGATTGAGAGAACATACACTACGGAAGAGCTAGGAGAGTTGGGCGAGGACAGCCCGTTGTTCCGATTTGTGCTGTAACACTGCCCAGATTTTGACCATAAGGAAGTTCTTGGATCTCTGGGGCTATTCTCTGGGAAGTTACTCAAGCCTATATGCACTAGGTGGGTACATAAACATCCATGGATATTTGCCCCTCAGGTGCTATTTTGATTATCAGAGCCTAGAAGTAAATATACCTCCAAACATGACCGTTTCATGTCGACCGAATGCCTCTGTCGATATTACCCTGCGATCCCAATCTCTGACCCCAGAACCGTAATAAAATAGGTAATATCGTGGAGCATCATAGGCGAGCTATCAAATACCACGATAACAAGAGGGCCGGAACGAGGAGGCACGGCGAGAGCAGTCGTTACATCCAGCGCATTCTTCGCGCTTATCCCACCAAGTTCCATTAAGTAGGCCGCGTTTCGGATTATGGAGATTCCATTTGGCAAATGAGTCAACGCCAAGGGATACCAGGTACCCACATAGATAACGATTTCTGGGGAATGGACCTCGGAATGTCCCGAGCCCCGACCTCGGGAGCACCTATCGATTCGATAAGCTGCGCGGGGAAATCAGGTCCGCCGCGCCCAAGATCTCCTATCTTCTACCTTTATCGGCATTATTCTGATATGATGATTAGATACGATCTTAATTTCAATGTCAAAAAGGGTTCGAAGAGAAGGGGAACAGAATCGATATTCTGCTTGGCCGAAGATTTCCCAATACTTTGCCCCTCCTGAGCATCAGAACATCGGAATATCAGCCAAACATGCGGCCACTGCCTACCGGAATTTATACGCCTTTGCCGTGTTTCTTCCACGAGAATGAGGATATAGGTGAGACCGATATGCTTTGGTGGAATTACAGTGTAGCTAATGCGACATAAAGATATTGAGGCCTTCCAGAGCCATGTGAAATGTAGGAACATGGAACCCCATAGATCTGTGCCCAAATGTTAACGAGGTTGAAAAGTCATTGCGAGTGCTGGAACCATTCCAGTAGTTTCTGGGTCCATGGGCGAGGCTATACATCTGGTAAGAAAACATTTATTCCACAAGTCTCCAAAGCTAACGGGTTATATAATTGCAGGACAGAGAAGAGAAAAAGACCATCATTCGGTCTGCTCGTGTCGCTCTCGATGAGGTTAATTTGCAAGATGTTCCAATCGTCGCAGGGGCGGGAGGAGCTAGTACTCGTGAGTCGATTCAACTTTGCAAAGATGCTGCAGAAGCCGGCGCAGATTATGTGATGGTTATCCCACCAGGGTACTATGCCGGAGCCCTTTTGGCAGATACCTCTTCAATCAAGAAGTTTTTTGTGGATATCGCAGAAGCATCGCCGTTGCCAGTGTATGTATCCCCCTAGCCCTTAAAATGGGAGGTCCCTGACATCTTGCAGTATCATATACAATTTCCCCGCCGTATCGGGAGGAATCGACATGGATAGTGATTTGATTGTCCAAATAATCAAGTCTTCTGCTAACATTTGTGGCGTGAAATTGACGTTCGTTTCTATAGTCTTCCACTCTCCATCAAATTGGCTAACATAGCCCTACAGATGCGCCAATGTCGGAAAATTGACTCGAATCATGGCTCAAGTTTCGACGCCAGAATTCCAGAACGCTTTCCCTCGATCGTCAGCGACCCCCTTTCGGGCCATCGATGGATTTATTGACTTCTTACTGCCATCCATTTCTGTTGGATCCGCGGGTGCGATCAGTGGTCTGCCAAACATAGCACCAGTACGAGCTTGCAATTGACTTGAAAATCAAATGGGGAACTGGCTGACAAGCGATTAGAAATCGTGCGTGAAATTGTGGAATCTGTGCCAAGACAGCGGGTCTAGCAAACAAGCGACCGAGCTACAGAACTTGATTGCTCTTGCCGATGGTGTGGCGCTGAAGATTGGGGTAAGTGAATTTCGAAGAAAAAATTAATACTTTCGGATGCAAATACTGAGATAACTGCAGATTGCGGGGATGAAGAAGCTGTTGCATCGACACTTTGGGTACGGCGATAAACCTCGGCTGCCACTGTTGCCGATGAACGACAAAGTAGCGGACGCGATTCTATCGAGCCAGTATCTGAAAGCATTGTTGGATCTGGAGGCAACACTGTGAAAGGAATCAGCAATAACAAGGACAATTTAGGAATTCATAAGGCCGAGGATGAAAGGGTGAAAGGACGAGAAAGGGTAAAAGTGGAAATTCGCCCCGGGGCCCCGCTTGACTCTGATAAGCTGATGTCTGTGCGGGAGATAAGTCCATTTTACTACTTCGCTTCTTTCTCTTCTTTATTTTTCCTATAGCTTCATATGATAATGGACTTTTCTACTTCGTCAGCTCCGATTCTGAATGGTCGTTTGTACAAGTCTAGAAAATGTCGGCCTTGCGACGCTTGTCGCAGACGTAAAGTCGCTTGTGAAATGCCCGATGGACCCCCATGTCTTCGATGCACCAACAAAGATCAACAATGCACGTTTGAAGAGGGTCCAGGGCCACGAAAGAGGTCTAGATTATGCGAACAGACGAAGCCTTTTGAACCTTGTGAGCAATCTGACGGGTGGCTGGACCTTTTAACCGAGGCTCGACCAAATATTGGGCAAAGTGATGAAGCATTATCGCCAGGGCCGAGCCGTCTGGGTGCCATTCAAGAGTTTGAGCCAACAAGCCCCAGAACAAGCCACTCGTCTGTCAGCCAAGATGGTACAACGAGGCGCGACTCGCGAAGCAGCCTCTCATCCAGCCCGGGAAGATCTCCACCAACTCGAAAACGACCAGCACCCAGAGACTCGCCTGCTCAAGTCGATTCACTCGAATTCATTCCGGAGGCATTTAGCTTCTATATTGGCCCAACAGGGGTGTCAGATATCCATATCTTGAGCCATCAGCAATACAACGACCAGAATCTCTCGTTACCAAAGGTGAATGGCTTGAAATATCGAATCATGCACAACCCGGGTCAGAAAGAGAGGGAAACTGTTGATTTCTCTCCCCCTACCGTTTTCGGTATTACCAACCACTCTCTTCTGGAAAAGGCGGAGCCAAAACTTGATCCACAACTCACCGAAAATGGATGGCCTCGTCTATGGGCTATGATGGATTCCACTGCAGCGTGGCATCTCATCAAACTATATTCACGCTATGTCGACCCTTACTTTCCGATTCTATCCAGTCATCAAATTCCATCATCACCAACCGACTTGAACAAAATGCCCCTGGCATTATTGACAGCAATCTGCGCAACCGCCCTTCCATTCGTCATGTATGACGATAGTCTCTACACATTGCTTTTAAACCCGCCTTCTAGCGAGAAATTATACCGTCTTTGCTGGCTTTGTATATCGCAGGAGCTTCATGCACCTTCTCTCGGGACACTTCAAGCCTGTCTCCTTCTTCAACAGCGACTTCCTACGAATATGTATCTCTCTGATACCGCATTTGCATGGACACTCATGTCCACTTCCCTGGCTGTTGCACAGACTATCGGTCTTCATCGTGATGCAGGATCATGGACCTCTATTCCAGCATGGGAGAAGAGGCTTCGGCGTCGACTCTGGTGGGGTCTCTATGCCATGGAGAAGTGGGTCGCCCTCGCACGAGGAATGCCCAGCCACTTAGGTGATGACGATTACGATGTATCCATGCTCGAGCAAGAAGATATACAAGATACCCTGTCAGACTCTCCGGATACGCAGAGTCACATCTATCATTTATCGAATTTGTCAACGATACTTTCGGACATTCAAAGGTCCTTCTATTCGGTGAAGGCGGTCGGGAAAACATCTAATGACCTCCAGTACTCCTTGGATCTGGCACGGCCCATGCGCGTTAGGCTTAAAGACTGGCGAGACAATTTGCCGAGCAATATGAAACCGGTCTCTAATGCAGTCGTTTCTGGCGAAGACCTCGATGGTAATGGATCTCTTTATCTTTCATACATCGTCACGCATGTGGCTCTTCTCCGCGCTTTGCTACGACCATTAGATCGATGGCCGGCAATCATCAAGGTCAACAAAGAAGAGCCAGATGCGACCTACGAAGGCGCCAAAGCAGTTGTCACAGGGGCGTTGCTATGCGTAAAGGAATTTGTTGAGTTCGTCGAAAGGCTCACTGGAGCTCAGTGGAATGCATTCTGGCATAGTTGTGAGTATAATGACTTTTACAGTGCGGAATTCCCAATCTAACAAATCCACCAGGGAGTCGACCGAATTTTGCAATTGCTGGGTCGTTCATGGTGCATCTTCTACAGGTCGTCACACCACTTAATCAGGCTGAAAGTCAATCAATGGCGGAATTTTCGAAATACACATTTGAGAAAGAACATGCTGAACTTCAAGACTGGATTCGCAGATGGCGCTGGGCAACGCGAATCTCAGCGAATGGAGCAGCAGGGGTTAAAGGCTTAACAAACCTCGGATTTATCAAAGTAGAGACTCTAATGGGAAATGGGACATAGAAACTGTGGAGTATAATATAATCAATAATAATTCTTAACATTCAAACAGAACTAGCACAGGTTAAGCATCATCCTCCCTTCATCTTTGGCACACTCTCCATCATCCTCCTCAACCAAACTTGGAATTGGCACATTAGCCAGTGGGGTCAACCGGAACGCATGTCTTCGAGAACCAGCGGAATAATCCAAGGTCTGCGAATGTTGCGTGACCCTCTGATCCCAGATAACCACTGTACCAGGCTCATATCGCACGCGACAGCAGAAATCATGGCCGCGATTGATATGGTCAAACAGGAACTTCAGCATATAGTCTGATTCTTCCTCATCCCAACCAACGATACTTTGAGTGTAAGAGGAGTTGACAAATAGAGCTTTCTTTTTGGTGACAGGGTGAACGACGACGACTGGGTGGATGGTTCGAGTTATCGGGCGACGCAAGACTGATTCCGCACCGTTATCGCGGATCTCACGCATGATTGGGTTTGCTGTGGTGTGCACGGCTTTTAGGCCTTCAAGTCGCTTGCGGAATGAGGGAGAAAGACGATCAAATGCGCGGGTCATCTTTGGGGAATTCGTTAGCTGAAGCTTGCTTGCTTCCTGAATCGAGACTCACGTTTGAAATGATTGTGTCTCCTCCCGCTCCTGGGGGGGACTCGAGCATACAGAAAAAGGTAGCACCAGGAGGCTGAGTCTCAGGGGACTATTGAAGTGGCATGTGAGTTCTCGTTCGTTATGGGTCTTGGATAGTGGATATTACCTGATCGACGTGGAATTGGATTGGGCTTTTTCTTGCCCAGGATTTGCGAATACGCAAGTCACTATTTGGTGGAATGGTGTGTTAGCTGCACTTGTGAGCAGAAAGATAGTTTGCACAAATAGCTCTGAATGACTTACTCCTTAGAGTCATATACGATAACAAACTCTTCCGGGCCATTTTTAGGATGAGGCATCCATCCGTGTTTGTGAAGGGGGCCAAAATGACTAAAAATATGTTAGAAACTGAAGGGTAACTTAACCAACTAAACTCACGAGGCAATCTCCTTCTGCTTTTCAAAGCCCAGATCGGTAAAATCTTGGTTCCTGAATACTAAACAGCCGCGCTCCTGACCATGAGGGCCAATTCATCCAAGCCCTGTTTTGAAAGCTCCGACTAGATTTGTATGCATTAGAGGTTTCTGTTTCTGTTTCTTTTTTTTTGTAGGGGCAGAGAATCTCACAATCTGAACTCCTTGTAGCTCTGTTCCACAATGAGGGCTCAACTCCAGGACATTGGTCGCTTTTTCCAAAAGATTCGGGAATGATGGATCAGCTCGGTGGCCTGGGTCATCGTGCTCGAACGGGCCCACCATCTCGACCTTTTCGAGAGGGTCATAGAAGGCTATAATTCTTGTGAGTTCATAAAGCTTCAATTGTGTTTGGACACGAGACTCACGCAGGTAATCGGGGTAGAGTGGCCCCTTGGCTTCAACTGTCTCTGATACCATTTTTGACGACACGATGCAATAGAAAGGAGATGTTTGAATTTGATGGCTTGAATTCTGAGAGGTGCATTCGACACGATGATTATAAAACAACTAAAACAATTACCATGGCTCCAAATTAAGGTCATTCCGAGCCTCTGATGGATGGTCTCATAGATTATCGTGTGTTAGAATAGTTGCCCGCGCGGCCAACTCAAAATCAGCCCCACGTGGGCCCCCACTTGCTTATCTGTGGATCGATAGCGGTTGATAAGGAGGCTCCACAGGCAATCAGGGCCAGGCATTAGGCGAGATAGTGACCTTAATCTTCCAACCTTGGAAGGTTATATCGAAGAAGCCACCGATAACCAATACTAAAAATGTAAGATGAATATTGCATATATTACATGTATTTCCAGGCCATGAATAACTCCAGGATCTTCACTGGATAAAACTACAACCATCTGAGTGAAACATTGCGAGGTTTGAAGATGGCTGCTGATCAAGTCACCATCAGTGATGAGGCTAAGGGCGGTGTTACAGCCGACGCGGCTGTCAAAGCCATTAAGGCTGGACGAAACAAGGATGTTGATATTGCCGCACAGATCGTCAGCGACTATGCAGATCAAATGGATGGTGAAAGCTGGTCTGCCGAGGAAGAACGAAAGTTGATCCGCAGAATCGATTGGAGACTTATCCCCACGGTGCGAAGCTCTTTTGCTATTTCGCAATATCTTGTAATACTAATATGGAATAGCTATTCGTTTGTGCCACTCTATCAGGCCTTGATAAAACCGCCATCTCGGCCGCTGCAGTTTACAACATCAAGACGGATCTGAATTTTACTGGAAATGAGTTTTCATGGATTGGATCAGCACCATTCTTCGGTGGACTGTTGTTCATGGGCCCTTTGGCCTACTGTTTGCAAAGGTGAGATGCCCTATCGTGTTTTGTGTCTAAATATCCAAGGCCAACTAGCGTCTAACTCACTTAGGGTCCCTGCCGTGCCATTCTTCGCTTTCAATGTTCTCTGCTGGGGTATTCTGGAGATGTGCATGGCAGCATGCACCAGCTTTGGTGGCCTTTTCGCGTGCAGATTTCTTCTAGGCGGTTGTGAATCACTGTTGATCCCCGCTGTCACATTAGTTGTCTCAATGTGGTATCGACCCGAGGAACAACCAAAGAGGAACAGGTACCGGATAATCCATTCTTGGCCAGTAACAGTACCTTGATATTCTGACACGATGATACAGCATTATCCTAAACGTGGTTGCGCCTATTATTAATGGGTTCGTCGCTTGGGTTGTTGGGTATTACAATGGCCCGTACGAAAGATGGAAGATTATCTTCCTTCTAGTGGGAGGTCTCACTATCATCACATCTGTCGTGGTGTATCTCGTATTGTACGATGCCGATATTATCCAAGGATAAAACAAAATCACTGACAAAATCGAATAGGCCAAACAACCCCCTGGAAGCCAAGTTCCTTACACCCCGGGAAAAGTACATTGTCATTCAACGCAAAGCCGCTGATAACACCGGTATCGAGTCCAAGACTTTCAAGATGGACCAAGTCTGGGAAGCTATCTTCGATATCAAGACATGGTTGATTTGGATTGCTATTGCTGCTTTGCAGGTACCAAATGGCGGGTTGACAACTTTCAATACGCTCATCATTTCTGGGCTTGGCTTCGATTCCCTTCAGACCTCGTTGCTGGCTATGCCTCCTGGTGCCATGAGCACTTTGTCCGGAATCGGTCTCTCTTATCTGGCTGCTACTACAAGACGATATCGTACGGCAATCGTGACCGTCTCTATTCTTCTCCCACTGTTGGGTGCTGTGCTTTGTTATGCGCTACCGCGAACGAACCTTGCCGGTCAGCTCGTTGGGCTATAGTAAGTTTTCCTAGTCCGTTGAATCGTCTATCTATACTAACATCAATTCTTTGCAGCATCTTGTAGTAAGTCAACATAGTTTCCAGAGTGCGTCGCTTTTGCTAACTTCTCCAAGTACATACTGGGCCCCTTACGTCACCTTGGTCTCGGTATACCAGGCTAATGTTGCAGGTCATACAAAGAAGTAAGATGCCCCTTAAGACACATAAGTTCCCGTCTAACAATATTTTAGAATCACACTCTACGCCTGGTTTTACATTGCCTGGGCCACCGGAAACATCATCGGACCTCAAACATTCCGAGCAGATCAAGCTCCCGAATATACTGGTGGAACTGTGGCAATGATTGTATGCTATATCGTTGCGATGGCTGCTATCACAGCATATGGTCTAGTCTGCCACATGAGCAATAAGAAGCGCGCAGAGGCCATCGAAGCTCGTATGGCTGCCGACCATGACTGGTTGGATATGACGGATAAGGAGAATGTGGGATTCAAGTACACTACCTGATGCTTTTGATTGTTTGCAATGAATATCGCCTTTAATATTACAATTCAAATTATTGATGTACGTATGGGACGCGGGACTGTTAAGTGGAAATAGGTGGTGATGCTTAGTGAGCACTGGGTGGTCCGTGATTAAGAGTACTCAAGGACATGCTCAGCTTTACTCAGTGGTCAAAAAGCGGCAAGAGCTGAGCACTTAAACGGAAAGGGAAGCACACATACACACCTATACACCCTTTTATACAGAGATATATACAGAGGCAACCCTGTGAAAGGTGGCGATACGTGGATTTTTGTCCTTTTTTTTTACTTTTGTTAGAATTTCCAGTCATTCATCTCACCTGTTCCCCATCTTATGTGACGCTATTACCTTCATCCAACCTCATCACCCTTGTGCGTCTTTACGCGACCGATTGGCATTTCCACCCTTTGGGTGTGTGCAAGCATTAATAACTCCCGAGGTGCATTTAAGAAAAAATCTCCTTTGACAGACTCTAAGCAAATCAGATTCCGCCAAAGCACCATTATATAAGCGCGTGCATAAGTGGACGACACGTCGATGGCGCTAGTAAATTGCTCCTCAATGCGCCCTCGGGCATCCGGGAGAGAAAGTCCAAGGGCCTAGTCCTAAAAGGAACACAATCCTTCCTGTTTGGCATATTGCCTTGCAACAAATATTTTCAAAATCGGTCTCTGGCCAAAGCAGTCATTTCCATTATGGCTCTGGCACTGGCATCCGCCGCCCAGCTGAAACCTGACATTCGGTTAGCCCAGGCTGTTTCAGATTTTGAAGCGGACCTTTCAACCGAGCAGAAAGCAACTTTTCGAGAAGAGAAATCAAGTGTACTCACATCACCTCCAAAAATGCAAGATGTCATGCGTCTCACCGCCGAGTTTGATAGAACTTGCGCCAAGGGTGGGCGCTGCTTTGGGCCGAGACTAGTAAACATGGCACAAGCTGTTCAACAATTTACTGCCCTAGGTGATATAATCGTTGGAGGATCACAAAACCTCGTCGCTTGTGGCATTTGGACGGTATTTCGTACGTCTTTGCTAGTAAGTATCGGAGTTCGCATCATGCAGACACCTTTGCCTAAGATATGATTCTAAAATTACATGGGTATATTGACAGCTGCTGACCACAAAATCCTCCTATCTGGAGAGTATATCAACCCTTCTTATGAATGTCGGTCGATCTGCTCCTCGCTTTGAGAACTTGGCCCTGTTATATCCCCGTTCTCGCGATTTACGAATATCACTCGACGAGTACTTTATTGTGGTAGTTCATCTCTGTCATGATATTCTGAAATTCACAAGAAAAACAAATTTAGGGAAGGTTGCTTTATCCCTGTCCGACTCGAATCTCAAAAAGTACCGCGCAGACCTTGACACTTGGGGGAATGCAATCAAGGACGAAGTGGGGGTTTTGTTAGCGACTCAGGTTGGAGACGAAGCTAGGATGAACCATCAGTTCAGAGAAATCTCTGCTAGGTTCTTTAAAGCTACGTCAAAACAACACAGCAATGATGCTCGATGGCGAATCTTAGATTTCTGCTCCGAGTTTGATCATCTGACAACGTGGAAACAGATCCGAAAGGCAGGCAATACGAGTCTCTTTTCTCACTGTCAGAATTACTTGATGTGGAGGCAGAGACCAGACTCCAACACGCTCATCTACTCGGGAAAGCTTGGGGCGGGCAAGTCTGTCATGCTTGCTAACATGGTCGATGATTTATGTCTTTGGGCGCGAGATACGGCAGTTGCATTCTTTTTCTCGCGTCATGATATTTCTGAAAGCTTGAAAGCCGAGACCATCATTGGTTCCATAGCCCGACAGTTACTGAGCAGGTCTTTTGATTCAGCTATGGAACCGGCCATTCTTGAGCTGTGCGAAAGAATTGAGAAAAGTACCTCTCTGGACCGATTTACAAAGATTCTTCACCTACTCAAATTGAGTAATCCCTCTGGTGAGCGAGCATTTGCACTTATTGATGGGTTTGATGAGCTCGAAGAAACCGAGAGAGACACACTACTTCGGTATCTCTCTGAACTGCAACAGACGATTACAATATCTATCTGCATCACACTTCGTCATGACCCAAATTTTCCGTTGAAAATCAAACCAAGCATGGGTACTACGATCACCCCCATGCCCAATAATGCATGCGAAATCGAAACATTTGTTGCACAAGAGTTGATGAGATGCGTGGAGTCCAGGAAGCTCGTTGTTCGTGATATCACATTGCTTTCTGACATACAAAATGCTCTCCAAACGGACTCGCAAGGGATGTTTCTCTGGGCAGTTCTTCAAATAGAGTCTCTGTGCTCTATGGAAACCGACAACGCAATTCATTTGGCGCTTGAGAACCTCCCGAAAGGTCTTCCCGAAACGTTTGAGCGTATTCTACAAAGGTCAGAGAAGACTGGATCGTCACCTTCTTACCAGCGGCCGATACTGGAATTGCTATCTGTGGCTCAACGTCCACTCACAGTGGACGAGCTACGTGAAGCGTTAAGTGTGCTTCCTGGTGATACGAACTGGGACCCTTCACGCCTTCTAAATAACATGATGAAGACTTTGGCATGTTGCGGAAGTCTTGTGTGTATTGATGAAGAGGAATTGACCCTACGCCTGGTACACCATAGTGTGAAGCAATATCTTCTTGGTGGGCTTGTTCAATCCCATAATGGTCACCTATCGAATGGGAATCACTCAATAGCTGAGAAGTCCGCTCATGATAGAATGTCCGGCATCATTATCACCTACCTCAATTATTCGGTATTCGATCGTCAGCTGGTGCGAGGGGGCGTTCCTGATATCAAGGCAGGACAAGTCTTAAACAAAGCTATTCACTTATCGCAGTTCTCATCCAAAGCCACTAATATTGCTTTGAAGTTCCTTCGGGATCATGGAACTCCCGATTTTAACATGGCCGGGGTCCTTGCTGAGGCAAATCGGCTTCGGTTCAAGTCCGAGAATCAATTCAAGTTTCGGGACTATGCAAATGCCCATTGGTCATTTCACGTTGCTCGATCCCTCCCATTGGAAAAGACACTGCATGATTTGTTTCAAAAACTGTGCCGCCAAGGTAGAGTGCCTCCCATTATAATCGATGAAGATGCCACTTTGCTTCTTTTGCGTGCTGTACAAACCGGGTGTGATGATGCGATTAAACACGTTTTGAGTTCATCCAACGTGCCCGTCAATTCTCCTTTAGACAGCAATGGGCGAACAGCACTACACTTGGCTACGATGGGCTCGTTCAAGGGCACAGTTCTATGTCTCCTTCAATCCCATAATATCAATCTGGCTGCTCGAGATGTCGACATGAAAACACCTTTAGTTCTTGCATTTGAGAGACGGGATTTTCCCGTGGTGCAAGCCTATTTGGACTTCAAATCAGTCTATAACAAAACCAATCCTTTAATCATTGAGCTTCTACCACAGGCTGTTCAAGTATTAAATGCCCAAGACTCTCAATTTGCCCTCAAGATCCTACATTCAGCAGTGATCAATGATGATGAGGTTCTAGTTGGCATTTTTGCATCCAGTCCAGTCGAAATCACTTCAAATCCAGAGGTGTGGAGTCTCATTCACGCAGCAGCAACGCGCGGGAACAGGACAATCATTCAACTCATGTTCGATCCTGTGAGAACACCCTGCCTCGATGATAACACAACACTCATGTATGAGCCACTCCATTTAGTTGCCGAGGCTGGCGATGAATATCTTACCAAGTTCTTCCTTGACTCTGGAAAGATAAATGCGAAGTCCCGTGACAGACGTGGCCAGACACCCCTTCACAGAATCACCAAGCGATATAACGGGAGAAGTGAGCATATGTTTCTCAAGCACCTCCTCCTCCTGGAGGCACCAGAGGCCGCCAACCAGAAGGACCTTCGTGGCCAGACGCCGTTACACCTAGCTACTCTGAACGGTGACCTAGGAACTGTCCGCCTTTTGTTGCATTACGGTGCACATCCTCGGTTGGCCGATGATCAAGCATGTATACCCCTGCATTACGCAGTCAAGAACGGCTATCTCGACGTAGTCCGCTCTCTTATCTGTTTTGACAAGATATCTGTGAATAGACGTAACTCACAGCGGAGGACTCCTCTACATATCGCCACTATCAAGGGCTTGGTCGGTATTGTGTCCGAGATTTTGAATGTTCCGACTGTAGAAATCGAAGCCTCGGATTTGGAGCGTCGTACTCCTTTATCATATGCAATGGAGCTTCGTCATGCATCTATTGCAAAGTTGCTGTATGATTGCGGGGCAAAAAGGCCTAGAGTGCCCGATAGTCGAATATTTGAATGTTCTTGAATTAACTTGGCACCGATTACTAGTAAGCACTCTCTAATTTCTAGCCAACTTGCTAAACGGCCACCTATACTCTATATAGCTACAACCCCAACAAGGGGAACTATACTTAGGTTAGCTTTGATACTAAATTTTCATTGAGCTAGGGGCACTATATATAAGTTCAAATCGGATGAGATATGTTTTTGGAATATTTTCATTGAGAAATGCTGGATTTTATGCCCATCCACTCAATATATATATATTTCTAGCAGAATGTCCAGATATGCCCTAGCACCAACTACCAAGTACAACTTAGCCATTTAGTTAAATAACCTTCCTATTTAACATGGATTCAATCCGAGTCTCTTAAATATTGTATCTACAAAATATACCTAGGTGTACCAAGTAGACCGCTACCGACCCCGATTGGGGTTGTCCCCGCTTATCGACGCGGAATCAACAACCTCCTTCTCCAATCCCCGCGAACTCCATGTCAACACCTACTTTTGATTTAAACAACTTCAATTATACACTTCGTCCACACAATTGACCAGAATACATCGAGGCATACCAATAGCGCTCTCCGCCCCTTACTTCTCCGGCCACGCTGTCCGTACCAGCGACAAACTCACCATGTACGCTCCATCTGCTCGTTGAATCGCACAGCAACTAACATGCCTTCCAACACCAGGGGCGTCTTCTCCCTGATCATTATCAATAAAGCCGGTGGTCTGATCTACCAGCGCGAGTTCCAGTCTGGCCTGCGCAACCTTTCCACAAATGACTACCTTGTCCTAGCCGGCACCTTTCATGGGTAAGCTGGCAATATCACAACTCCCCTGGAACAGCCACCTGACTTGGATTCTATAGTGTTCACGCAATCACTCGCTCTATCACACCGAAAATTCCCATCGCTCAACCAGCTCCCTCCCCCGCAACCTCTTCAACAGGAACCACTGCTCCTGCGGCGTCCGGTTACTCCTACCCAAACCCCGGTGTACCAGTCTCCGGTTTGGATTACCTCGAGACCGACAAGTTCCGATTGACCTGTTTCCAGACCCTGACGGGGACAAAATTCTTGTTGTTCACAGATCCCTTGACCGGTAGCGTGGACACAATCATCCAAAAAATCTACGAGCTCTATGCGGACTACGTGATGAAGAATCCATTCTATCAGATTGAGATGCCAGTGCGATGTGAGGCTTTCGATCGGCATCTGGGGGCGTGGTTGAGGGGGAGGGCATAGCCCCGACCGACTATGGGACCACGCAGAAAGGGGATAGACATCATGACTTTACGAACTAGATACGTTTTGTTCCTGTACTTGTGTCCGGATATCACTCCGTCTCGTATAATACCAAATCACATAATATATTGCCCCTGCACACACTGTAGAACGTACCCGAAGGTCGACTCTCGAGAATACAGGACAAAAGCACAAGTAAACGCCGGGTATGCATCACAGTCATATTCGAATATCCGGACCTTACGCGGTGTCCATCTTGTCCTCGTCCTTCTTATCTTTGTCACCGCTGGACTCGCCATGGCCCTCCTCGGGGATATTGCCCAGTTGCGTCTTGCCCTCTTGTTCCTCCCGATCACGCTTCTCCTTCTCCTGTCGGTTCTTTTCATCCTCCATCGATAAACGCAGGGCGAATGCCAGTTCGGGGTCGTTTTCGGCGGCGTCATCAAATCCAAATCCACCAGCCTCGCCATCGCCACCGCCGCCTCCGCCGACCTCGGCATCCTCACCAGCTAGGATCGGGGTCAGCTGCAGCTGATCGCTGAGAAGATGGGGTCCGGGTGGAATGATGGCGAGGTGGGAACCATCGCCGCTCTTGACATTCTCAACGAAAGCCTCGAGCTTCTTGGTCTGATCGGATTCCAAATCTCCGAAAGCTACCACATCGATCGACACGTTGTTCTTCTTCATCTTCTTTGCGAGCTTCACGAGGGTCTTTTCATCTTCTTCGATGGGCGAGCAGGAGAATACGATGATGCGTTGACGCTGGGACTTTTCCATACGGTGCTTGAGTGCCAACTAAAATACCATGGATATTAGTTGTTGAGACCCCAGGCCTCGGATATTGGCTGGAAGTACGTACCGCTGCAACCTGGATGGTCGAGCTGAGATGAGATGTGCCGTGAATCTTTGTTCGGTGCAGACCGGCGAGGATTGCGCCAAACTCGGGTGTGAAGGTTGACAACACCTCGGGGCCCTTTCCGCCCATGCTCATAAGGCCGACAGCTGACTGGGCGTTTACACGCATCTTTGCATTGTGAATGATGCTAACGGCATCGACTTGAGATTGCCACCGGGTTGTTCTGTGACCATTAGATGCCATCCACAGATGCAAATAGAGTACCATCGGATGTACTCACGTGTAGTCTCCATTGCGACTGCTTTCGCTGTTGTCGACACTGTAGCTTAGAGTCAGCAAAGTAAGCTAATATAGAGGATGAAGAACGTCATACATGATCATAGTAGCTTCCAGCGTCATGATGGCGGGATCTAAAGGAATTAACGATGTAAAAAAGGGCAGAACAGCAAGTGATTAGGAGATCAGTGTATGGGGGATGAAGACGGATGACGAAGGCGAGGTGGAAGCTCTGTATTCTGCCACTGCTCTCCGCTCGGTCACGCTGTTTGTTGTGGTCCTCCTTGCTCCGCACCTTAACTTTAGCCCTTCGTACTTCGACACATCTCAAGTCTATATCCCTTGAACTCTACACAATGCCTGCTGTTAAACGCAATTCAGACGCTATGGATGTCACCCCAACGGGTAGTCCTACTAAAAAGATGCGCTTGACGCAGCATCAGAAACAGGCGCTGATGGATAATCTACAACTTGAAAGTGGGTTGAACTGTGGGTTTACAGAGTGAACACAACGCTAATTTTTTTTGCCACAGTCACTGAGCGGGCACGTAAGCTTCGTGCTCAATATGCTCTTCAAGCAAATGACCTCCGGGCGCGCATTGAGCGACGCGTCAATCGGATCCCAGTCTCGCTACGCAAGGCCAACATCGGCGAGCTCCTCGAAAAGCACAATGCCGCCATGAACAAAAAACAGGTTGCGTCACCTTCTCGGAAATACTCGCCTATCAAGGTGTCGCGTAATATCACAAGCATCTCCGTAGACCCAGAAACCTCTACCACACGCGACGGTAGAGCTCGGAGGGGAAGGTACGATATACCGCAAAACGATTTATTACTCTGACTGACGAAATATGTAGCCACGATGGTCACTTCTCTGACAAGGAGAATGCCCCTGCCAGTCGTGAGCCAGAACTCAAGAACCCCAAGCGTCGCGTCAACCCAGCCGGACCAGGCGGGGCCTCGCGCATGGCATCTCAGGAAGTACGGGGCAACGAGAACCGCATCCTGTCTCCCAAGTCCAACAATTCCCGAACATACCCTCACTCGCCCTTCCGTGCATCCCCCGAGAAGGGTCAACCCTCATACCTGGCGCGCCCTACCTCACCGTTAAAACCGTCCAGTCCGTTGCGGTCACGCGGCCACACTGTGTCTGCAGTCAAGGACCAACGGCCTCCTTCACAGGCTCAGAGGACTGCTACCCGCGCCGCTACAGGGCCCAAGACTATTCGGTCACCTTTGTCGCGGCCAGCCACCCGACAAGGCGAGCGCAAGAATAGTACAGGGTCCACTGCGTCTTCGGGCACAACAGTAACAAAGTCCGCACGGACTGGTACCGGCGCAAGAAAAGCCACTACGGCATCTGCTGCGGCTGCCAAGAGGCCGGCTTCTCGCGCGCAGGCGGCATCAATGGCTATCAAGAATACCCCCACTACTGCTGCAATGCGCAAGACTACCGCTCCGGCTGTGACTGAAACTGCGACTCGGACTCGAGCACTGCGCAAGCGAATTTAGACTGTTTAGATGAGCGCATAGATACATGTCTGCTGTTTTGGAGTTGGTTGGGATTCTGTCTCTTTGAGCGTGGGTGCTGTCTTTCATGTTTGATTCTTCGGCGTGATATCATAATGGGTGTTTTTCCTTCTCGGGTGGGGGTATGCGTTCATGGCCTTGTCCGGGATATCTGAATAAAGTTCTTTTAAATCAATCCTCGCTGTACGAAAATCATAGTTGGTCCACAGGTCTTCATCGGCCCGTGTAAATCGACCACTCTGTAGAGACATACTACGTGATTTCAGAGGGGATCAAGCACCTTCATTCCCTTGGCCTGGTGCATAATGATATCAAATAATGAATTGAAGCATCGATAATCAAAGTATAGAGGATTGTATATACATCTCGAGGGGAAAATGCGAAGTGACTGTATTATCCAGGACGTATCCACAAATATGCAAGGCTCTACAGTACAAGCACCTCCCTCAGGCAACTACAAGCACAGATATCATAGCAATCGTGTTGATTGAACAAATAAGAAAGGAAATAAAAGTTCCCTGGCTCCTGTTAAGCAAAAGGCCAGGGGGAGAAGAATCAGAGAAGAAAGGAAAAAAAAGGGGGTCTAGGTATAGCCGTAGCCTGGCCCACAAAAAAGAATGAGGCATGCTCAGAAATCAAAAGCGAGAGAGAATGGTAAAGAAAACAGGACATTTATGCCCAGAGGGACAGGTATGGGTATGGCTGATCCCTCGAATCAGATGCAAATGAACAAAGATAAAAAAAAAAGGTGAGGCATCCCAGCCACTATAGAGATAGAGAGAAAACAGAAACCGATCAATAGCGACCAAGGTGCTTGTTGATCACTTTTGGGGGATTTTCATGGAAGGAGAAAAGAAACAGGGTAAACTCCGTCAACCAGCCCTGTCACTCGACAAAAAAAGAAAAGGAACAGAACGCTAAGAAGGTCCCAAGAAACAAGAAACGAAAACACTCCACAGAGATTGAATCAGACGGATTGATGCATGTCGAGGTCGGATGATGATGATGATATATCGCAGTATTACAGCTATGCAGGAGTATAAGGAGATCCAGTCTACCCAGTAACACCCATGGCACCTGCACTCGGACGCGGCCTGTAGGCCACGTTTGAGGATTGGCCATCAGGTGCCCCTGCAATTGGCTGGCTACTGTTGCTGGTGCTGCGGTCACGGTGATACGCTGCTGGAGGAGGAGGACCGAAATCAGGTCCAGCCTGGGGGTTGGTGCTTGTCGAATGAGAGTGTCCGCCGGGCCCGGGCACATGGCGAACCGAACTTTGCATCTGCCAGGCTGCATCCTGAGATGGATCGGTCTCGATACGCGCGGAAGCTGGAGTGCTGTTGGTTCGGTTAGGGGTGGTGATCGTGAATGTCTCGCCACCGTTCTCCGGTCTCTGTGAGAAGCTGCCTCGACCAATATCGCCATATCGTTTAAGGATTTCCTTGGTTGTCACTTCGGCATTCTCCCTGAAGAGAGTTGGATCACCCAAGACCGATTGTAGGTCTTCTGGGATCTATTGATAGAGTTAGTATGAATATGAGAAGACCTCAACCTGGGCGACTAACCTCGCAGAATACATCGTTATATGCGATCAGGGCATTCACGGCTTCAATGGACAAGAAGCTCTCCTCCACTGTGCTATTTTTGGCATTGGGGTAAAGGATATTAGGCGTGATGACAGTTGCAAGATTGTGGATGTCCATCTTGCTTCCGGACTCTTCATCTACATGTGAGAAGGATGATGTCCAGTTTAAGAAGGCAAACAGGACTTCCATTGTATCACGGTGGGCTTTGGGAAGCAGACAACATGTCAAGTGAAGTAGTCGCCTCTGTTTCTCCGCGTCATCCATTTCTGCGACACAAGTTAGCATTGCACGAGCCGACTGATGACCATGACATCAAAACTTACTTTGTGAGATGACAAATAGTCTGTGTAGCTTGAAAGTCAAGAGTGGGTCGGGCATCTCGCGGAGGAACTTTTTCAAGAGAGCTGCGATCTGCACAGGAGTTTCCTTTGTCAGATCAACTTGCTCATACTTGGTGTCGATTAACTCCGCGGTATCCTTCAATCGGCGGATGTTGCCGTTCTTTCGGAAGACACCCTCGACAGACATGTCCATCTGCCGCATAGCGCAAACAGAATCGTCGACCAACGTCGGGATGCGGAGCGCACCAGGGCCAACACCGTGGCTTGACTCTGTGCCCTCCTTCTCGACTAAATAGTCTAGACCGACACCGAAGACACCCTTCTTCTTATTACCCTTCTTGTTGTCTTTGAAGGCACGACCGAAGATGTTCCATATGGTCGGTTTGCGAGACTCAATCAGAGAAAGTAGCT